TCAGAGGGCGGCTGAGAGAGTCAGAGGGTGGCTGGGGGGCTGTGGGTTCACTCCAAGTGTGTGCCAATATATATTACCACTGATTGGTCCTTTGTGATTTTTTTCATTGTTGAAAATAATGAAGGAAGAAATCTCAAAGCTTAAATGAAGGTCCTCTGCGCTCCCCAGGGCTCCTGTGTGGGCAGATGACAGAGGTCTAGGAATGCCGTCTAATTTAGCTTTATCCTTGAATGCCTACCACAGTGAATAGCGGAAGCTGAGGTGCAGAGCAATATTGGGGGAGGACCATTTATTGAGCAGCTGCTAGTTGCTAGCTCTACTTGCAAAGCTCTATCATTTAATCTTCACAAGCAATTTTGTAGGGTGGGTGGTTTTGTTTTCATTTAAAAGATTAAGACAAAGAGGCCCAGTGAGGCCTGCAGATCAGAAAAGGAAGAGGGAAGAGCTGGGATTTTAATCTAAGCCCGCTGTTTTCTTGGCTCTGCAGCCTGCTGGATTTTTCCCATTTGGCTCCAGGTCTGAATTCAGTGGGGCCCAGGGTGGAGTCTAGGGCAGGACGCGTTGAGCTGAGGGTTCCTTGGTCCTTCTGCTCACGGAGGAAGGCCCATCCTCTTGGACTCTCCAGAAAGCAATGTTGGGGGGAGGGCTGGGTGAGTGGACCGAGCATCCCCCCCGCCCCCAGCTCTTGGAGCTTGGAGCTTCAGAACTGGCAGTGGGGTCCTAAGGCTGGCAGTTGTGCCTCGGCCCCTTAATGAACAGTGACAGAGAGTTGGATGTCTTTATAAACCATACTCATGAGCGGCTCCCTGGGGCAGGAGTTTTCCTGGAAAAGAAAGCAGCTCCTGGAAGGTTTCTGTTTTGTTTTTCTTCTTAACAGGACCCTCGTTAATGATGCAAGGAAATGAAGAACACGTTTCATCAAGAGTTAGTCACTGCCATCCCTCAGCCGCCCTCCATCCTGCTGCCCTGTTCAGAAGCTTGCAAGACTTCTCACTCCCTGTGGGAAAAAAATCCAAGCCTTTTACCTTGTTCATCTTTGGCCACGCTTGGACTAAGCTTCCACTCATCTCATTTTAACAAGCATCTCGGGGGCTCCGTGTGCGCACACGTATGTACGTCTGCGTACGTGCGCGTGCTCGTCATACTGCTTAACTGTGTGGCCCTACAGAAGGAGCCTTGAGACCCTCAGCCCTGTCACTAGAAGGCCAGGTTGAAGGAAGGTTTTGCCGCAGAGAGTTGGTGATCATCCTCTTCCTTCGTGGAGGTGACTTGGAGATCTTAATACATGGCAATGCTAGCTTAAGGAGGAGAGACAAGCTGGACTCTCTGTAGCACCTGACAGTGTCCTGAAAAATTCAAAGAATGGTAGATGAGCACTGCCTTAGGCAACCAAGACAAAGGAGAGCTGGCTCTGCTGGGATTAGTTTGAACTCCCAAAGCTGTTTGGGCAAAGTATGCCATTCCTGCGGACGGAAGTGGGCCACGCACAAGAACATGTGGTGTGAAGGCCCCTAGGTTTGTCCTACAGGGGAGCAAATGGAAGGTTCCACTGGGTTCCCAGGGCTGCAGACGGAATGAGCAAAAGGACAGAGGGTAGTGCAGTGCTGTGTGGCGATGAGAGGCCCTTGGAGATGAGGAAAGTGCCTAAAAATCCACGAGTGTGCCCGCTCGAGAGTCAGCTTTAGACCCTTTGAAACCATCTTACAATAGTTTTGGTCAAGTAAGAGCCCTCCTGCTCCCTTTCTTCCACCTCTCCTCCCTACTGCGTCTCTCTGGTCCCAGACAGGACAGAAGTCACAGGTGGTGTTCACAGCACTGAGATACCTCACGCTGCTGACCTGTGCACTTTGGAGTGGTTAGACTGCACATTTCATGTTATGCACTTTATATGTATTGCCACAGTTGGAAAAAGAAGACATCGCAGTTAGAAAACGCAAGAGGGAGGTCTGGGGAGAGAAGTCACTGCCCATATCTCATCCCAGCTTTAGGAGTCCTGCCTGCAGCAAGCCCAGTTGACAGTCTTTTCCTTCTTTGCGGTGCTAAGGGTGGAATCCAGGCCTCACACAGGCAAGGCAAGCGCTCTGCCACTGAGCTACACCCTCAGCCCCGAGAAGGCTGGATTTTGAATCTGCTTTACAATAGTGCTGTTGTGTGGGATTGAACGTCTAATTTGTGCCTAGAATTATTCAGTAATTGATGTGATCACAGGACTTTTTTCTGCCTAAGAGTGATCACAAGAGTCAGAAGAGGCTTGAGTCTTCATGAAACAGCAGAGAAAGGACTTCTCTCTCTTCTCTCTGAATATGTTTCTCTAGGGGGTTAGAAGACACAGTAATGTTGACTTAGGAATGTACACAGTGAATCTTATGTAATCAATGTAGAAATGCTACTTGCTATTGTAAAACAGGCTCTCTGCTTCTGTTATATTTTCCAGCTGGGGGAGTTTGCTTCCATCACTTTTTCCATTCAATTAAGAGTCTGTGCTCACCCCAGACGAAGCCTCTTAACCGTCACCCGGGAGCTCAGCTGTGCTTCAGGCCTTAGCCCCACCTCTCCTGGTCCTCAGCTGAAGGACCGGCATCAATGTGTCTCTGTTGCAAGTTCTTGTATGACAGTCAGGTTCTGATTCTGATGTTCCAGTGAGTGTCACAGACTTTAATTTATACATACCTGCACAAGATCTTGTGCTTAGGAAACAGGGAGGGACAAGCCAGGAGCCCTGTCCTGAGGAGGCTCACAGAGCGCTGGGGGGACCCAGACAAGCAATCAGAAGTTTGTGTGGTAAAAGCCCCAGCACAGGTGTGTTCCCAGAGAGTGCTTCTCAGAGTCTGTACTGATCTGCCTTTGGTGTGCTGATAATGTCTGGCCCATGGTAAGTACCTACCCCGGGCCGTGTGCTGCTTTTTGAAAGGTCAGCTCTTCTAGAAAGTCTACCTTGTCTAGTTCTATTTCTGTGCTGATTGCTTCTTTGTTCTGGCATCTCAATACTTTGCAACTCAGCCTTGTGTCCACTTGCCTTGCTTCGTGCTACAAATACACTGAAAAGTATAACCTGCGGGGTAGTAACATGCGATTCATCCCAGGCCATCCGGAAGGCTTGGAGCAGTTTAACACCCGCTTCTCAGCCACTTTATATTTATTGTGGCAGCCACTGGCTTTACCACGGTTCTTTTAAGAGGTGGCATAATATTTCATGGGATGTATGTTCCGTCATTTTATATAATCATCTCCCCCTTGTAGGATATCACTTTATATGTCACATTTTTATATATAACCTAAAGTACTCAATAAACTGCAGGGCATTACTTTGTATACCATAATTCTAGATTTACATATCCAGTTACTTAATATCTCCACCAGCGTATCTAAGTCTTCTCAAATGTAACAAGGCTCCCACACAAAGCTTTATCCTCCCCTGTATTATTTTACCACAAAAACTGTGTGGTTTGAAACAACGGAGATTTATTCTTTCACAGTTCTGGAGGTGAGACGCCTGAAATCAAAATGCCAGCAGGACTGATTCCTTCTACGGACCATGGAGGGCCCGTTCCCTGCGTCTCTCCTCGCTTCAGTGACGGGCGGCACTTCTCGGCATTCCCTGGCTCGTAGACACGTCACTCTGATTTCCGCCTCTGTTTTATGTGGCTGTCCGCTCTCCAGTGTCTGTGTTTGCTTTGTGTGACTCTGCCTCTGTGTCCAAAGTTCCCTCTTCTTCTTAGGACACAAGTCCCAGTGGATTTAAGGGTGCACCCCATTCCAGGATGACCTTACCTTACTTTAGCTAATTACATCTACAGTAATTTTATTTTCACATGAAGTCACATTACGCAGTAGCGTGGGCTAGAATTCCAATATAATTTTTTTGAGGCGGGGGCACAGTTCAACCCATAAGAGCTTCTTCCCTCATGTCCCTGCTTCTGTCCCTTCTCTGGTCTTCTCCAGCTGTTTAAGTGGCGCTGATAGAAGCTCAAGCCAAGAACCCACGCATAACCCATGATTCTCCTGCCTTTATCACCCCATCCCAATTCCTTCAGCACATCTTTTCAGCCTCACTTCCAAAAGTATCCTGAACACATCCATTTTTCTTCGTCTCCATTTCTATTATCCTATGGAAGCTACTATCACTTCTTACTGGGATGCACTAGTTTGTCTCACTAACTTGCCCAGGCTAACTTCAAACTTGCAGTCCTCCTGTCTCAGCCTCCCAGGTTGCTGGAATTACAAGCGTGCGCCACCATACCAAGCTCCATCACTTGCTTCTTTGACCCAGTCACACCAGCCTTCTTGCCTTGCCTGGGCTACTGGGTGTCGAGCTTCGCCAGCCTGTCTTCTGCGATGCTCTCTCTTGGGCTCAAAAATCAGCTCACTCTTGTAATGAGAATCTCAGCTTAAATGTCACTTTTCCTGGTAGTATTTGATAGACCTTCCCTGACCACTCAATCTAGAGCAGCCAGCCAGTTATTCTCTTTCACAGATCTTTATTTTAGTTCTCTGCAAAGAATTTAAAAAATTACTTAAAAATATTTATTTTTAAAAAATTATTTTAAAAATGTATATAGGTACTAACTTTTTCTACTCCTACAGTTAGAATCTCCAAGAAAGCAGAGACCTTAATTATACACACCATCTAGAACAGTGTCTGGATGTAGGAGGTGCTCAATAAATATTTATTGAGTGAATAATTCTTTACAGAAGAGCTTTGTGTCTGAACTATTTCTTTTCCTTTGGGGGATTTATAGAAATAATTCAACAGGAGGAGATTATTGGATCAAGAGATATAAACATATTTTGGCTTTTAAAATGTATTGCCAAATTGCTTTGTCAAGAGATAAGACTAGTTTTTATTCCTTAGGTGACCTGTTGAATCATTGGTGCCAAGGCAGTGATTTCTGGCAAGTGGAAAAGGGAGGAAGGGAGGGAGGAGGGAGGACACGGGCCGGAAGTTGGAGGCAGGGAACCAGCAGCTGTTGCCTGGGCAACAATCAACAAACTCTGCCAGTCTGGCAGGAGGGGCAGCGGTGACAGCCTGGCTCAAAGCCCCGCCCACACAGCGGGGCTGAGGGTGGGACTCAGATGTGGGTGAGTAGAAGAGTTGACAGGTGCACCTGGTTTTCAGCTCAGCAGGGCCCCAGCAAGGTCCCAGATGTCCAATTGGGAGGTGGTGAAGGGTTGGCATCCAGGACACAGAGTAGGACTTGGAGCAGAACCTGCATTTTCACAAGCTCTGAAACAACGCCACTGAAATCTTGACGTGACTAGAATTTTCCTGGACATCTTGTTAAAATATAAGTTTCTGGGCTTTCTGGGGGTGGGGGCTGAAAACCTGCATTTCTTTTTAAGAAGTGTTTTTATTACCACATACGAATTATGCAATCAATGGCTTTCACTGTGTCACTTCCGTATTTGCATATGTCTCACATTGGCTATGTCATCTTCCCTTGTACCTTCCTTTGAGAATCTATTTTTAGCAGGCTCCTGGGTGATGTGGATGCAGCAGCAGGGTGCCTCCTTTGCTGACCACTGCACTGAGGGTGGCGGCCCCCAGGCCCAAAGAAGAAGTGTTAACAGGGAAGCTGCAGGCCTTGGAGAGGTTATTGCTGTTGTTTCTTTAGATAGTGGCCTTTCTCTAAGCTTTTAAGACCATGCACAAAGATGGTTGTGGTTATTAATGCTATGAACACCTGTGCTCAAAACTTCCCAGTTTGCAGGTTCTTCACTTCTTTGATCTTATTTCATCCTTGCATCAGATCTATAAGTTAGGCTGGGAGAAAACTATGACCTGCTTTCCGAAAGAGAATGAGGCACAGAGCGCTCTGAGAGCCAGGCCAACTGAGCAATCCTTCCAGGCCTCAGGGCTGTGACCCACTCCCACTTTATAGAGGGACGTACGGAGGCTTAAGCAGGCTCAGGAACTTTCCAAAATCCAGGGCAGCTCCACACTGTTAAGCAGAGTTCCAGAGATATAAACTCTGGCTCCCTAAACACTGGGCTTCCGGCCAGGAATACAGCCCTTCTGTCTGATGGTTCCGCATCTTACCTCTTCACCATGTCATTTTCCCACAGCAGAAAGAATGCCTTTCTCTGTCATTGTCTGTCTGTCTGTCTGTCTGTCTGTATGTCTGTGTCTGCCCCACCCCCCATGGTAGCCAAACCAACGGTCCATTTTAACTTCCACACCTAGCATTTAATTTAATGAACAAACAGACTACTATTTGGCCTTTTGTTTTGACTTTAGAGGTGAAAGAAGGTGACAAGAAGAGGGTGAATGATGACAGACACTGCCTCCAGGTCCCAACAGACCCAGGAGACCATTCTGTGTTCTCCTTGAACTCTGAGCACATCTCCCTTCTCTTCTTCCTTGGCTCTCAGAGAACTACTGTCCATTCCTGGCTCTAATTTCCAAAAGACTCTGGAAAAAATATTAAGTCAAGCAATCCGTTCCTCAGCTCCAATTTCTCTTGTCTCAGTTTCAACCCTCTTCTACCTACACTGCCATCCCTAACATACACACACACACACACACACACACACCCCAAACATCAGCCAAACAAAAAACTCTGCCTTCTCTTATCAGACACTTCCGATTTCTCTCATTTCAACTGTTAGAAATGCTAGCCCTGGATGTCCCCTACCTGCCCAGGCCCTGGTCTCTGCTTGTCTGCAAGCAGTGGCCCCGCCCAGCTGGTGGGAGGGGACAACCAGCTGCCAACCCTGGAAGAGGAGCCCTGTGCTGTGCATCTGGCCCAGTTTGCACTGAAACGCTCGACAATCCTTGCTGCTCATGGGACCTGTTCCTGATCTGTGTACTGGGGAGGAGGATGACCTCCAGGGCCTCGTTAAATGTCGGTATTTTAGGATTCAAAGTAGGATGTTCATAAGGAAAAGAAATTCTAACTTATCATATGTGGTGTGCTGGGGACATATAATTAGCCAACCACAGGTTATTTTTCTTGTGCCAGGTACTGTGCTAATCATTTTACAAGCATTATCTGTATTATTTTATTTAAGGCTCAAAGAAATCTTCTGACTTGGGAATCGTTATACTTCCATTTTTCAGATGTGAAAACTGACACTTAAAGAATTAAGTAGATGATCAGTTTTCGGTAGACTCTCAGTGGTTTCTCATAGCTGAAGGAACACTGGACTCTTATCAGGGCCAGCCTCCCACCTTGAATCGGCCCACCACATTCACGGGAGGTGGAGCCTTGGGTTAGGTGTCCCTGGCACCGGGGAACTTGGCCTCTCTCAGAGAGCCCTACTCTATCTTTCCACTGTTTGTGGTATAAGAATGTGCTTCACAGGGAGCCCTGATCTGTTTCTCCATAACTTCTGCCTGTAGCAAAAAGCACACTGGGCTGAGAGTCAGGGGGCCTGGGCTGTGTTCTCTCCCTTTACCTAAAGCACCAGAACTGCACACAAGTGGCTCCTCAGGGCCTCCATTTTCTCAGGTGAAACTGAAGGGATTGGATGAGATGAAGTCTGGGTCTTTTCTGGTTGAGACATGTTAGCTATATAATCCACAACAGTGTAAGTAACACACATATCTGATTATAATGATGGAAACAGTGAAGGAGCGGTACTGCGTTCCAAGGACTAGATCTGTTTCTGCCAACACGTCTGTGAGGATGGTGAACCTGCCAGCTGAGAAGGTTCCAGAAGGTTCTCAGAAACAGAATTCTCATCTTGTCTTAAAACCAAATCCTCCATCTTTCTCCTTCCTTTCCCCCTTCCTTTCTTCTCTTTCTTTTCTCTCTCTTCTTTGTTCTGCCCTTTCTCTTTCCCTCCCTCTTTTCTTTCCATTTTAAGGCACAAAGGAATATTTTACTCTCCTAATCAAAGTAAAAGATCACAGCTCTTGTGATGCATTTCTCATATCACATTGAACATATAGACTTTATGTCTTTTCAGGAATAAGGGAAGCGCCATTGAAATAATCCAGGCTGGCTTTAAGACCTCCCAGTTGTGGTTGCTAATTCCTGGGCCTCATGACAGGTATTTTCAATCCTGAGGTCCCTGCGTGGACTTTCAGGGAGCCTCTGAAGTAAGGTGCATATGTGTGCTTGGTGTGTGGCTGTGTGCTTTCCTGGAGAAAGGGATCTGGGAGAGAAAAGAGCAGCTCTTGACACTGGAGGTCAGCCGTGGGGTCTCTAGGAGCCAGCCTGCTGCTGGAGGTTGGGCTGTGGTGTTTGTGTCTGATGTCACAGAACCCCAAAATCAGACAAAATGGATCAAGACCAAAAAAAAGACAGACTACTCCATAATCATGTTTGATCAGAATAAAAACAAGAACATTGTTGAAGCCACAAAAATAACCAGACATTCTCCCTTCCTAGCTAATGTGAGTGCTGCTTCTTTTTTCCCAGCTAGAAAAGAATCAAGGTTCCCTATAGTAGGATCAGTCACCTCCTCTATGTCTTAACAGCATCCAACCCAGGGCCAAGGTCCACTGCCTTGAATGTTCCTCAGAATAATTTCCCACAAGCCCAAATCTTCTGTCCTTCCTAGTACCCTCTCACCTAGAAGACTCATGGTCCCAGTGGTGTATGGTCTCCGTCTTATGGTTGCAGTCAACAAAATGAACTTTGCTCCTGGTTATCTTGACTGAAGGGAATTGACAAGTCTACAGGTTTCATCACATCCTGAAAAGGGTCTGAATGTAACTGGAGAAAATCCCATAACCCATGCTGACTAGTCCTTCTTCAGGTTAATTACTAGAAAGCTCAAGTGAGCCTTTGACAGGTGGTTATATTACAAATCCTCAGTCCACTCAATTTCTGTCTCTTCTATACAACTGTCTTACCTCTGCCACCTTCCCTTCTGCCTCCAATCTCTCCCATCTCAGGTGGGGATCTTTCTCCCTGAGAAAAGAATTCCCAGGCTCTCCAGACATCTCCCCACCTACCGGCATCTGCCCCGTGCTCTGACTCCCTCCCTATTGCCGTGGAACATGAATGGGAACATTGCTGCCCAAGGGCTAAACCCAGCCTGCCGTGTCCATGTCTATTCCTTTATGTACTATCTACAGCGTCGTTTGTGCTACAGTGTGTCAGTTGTGCAGTTGTAACATAGACCATCTGACCTTCAAAGTCTAAGCTGTTCACAGATATTTTAACGCATTGCCCTTTATAGAAGTCTGCCAAACCCTGGCACAGATGAGCTGGCAATGCCTTTATTAAAGTCCCGCCTCCACTCGTGTTCCAGATCTCACCTATTCTAACCTCTCCAGGACATCCCTCTAGCAAGCTTCCTTTCTTTTCTTGCAATGACAATGATTTATTCTTCTGGATCACCCCTTCCACACAGAAATGTGTTATTTCTTCCATCTCTTAACCTTTTCTTAATTCTGCTTTCCAAACCCAGTTCTTTGCTCCCTTTTGTAGCAAAAGATCTTGAAAGAATTGTATGCATTGTCTCTAAATCCTGTCTTTTCCACTCCTTTAAAATTGACTTCAATCAGGCTTTTATTTCACTCTTTTACCTAAAGTGTTTTTGTCAAAGTCACTGGCACTTAGTAGCCACATCTGCATCTTTCAGCAGCATTTCATACAAGTCAACTCTTTTCCTCCTAAAAGCCCATGTTTTATTTGCCTTGAAGGATACCCCAGTCTCTTAGCTTGTCTCCTCACTCAGTGGATCTGCCATCTCTCTTCTCCAATGAATTAATATTGGGATGCTCCAAAGGTCTATCCTCCAAAGGTCTTTTTTCCTCCTTCTCTCTGTATTTACATCCTTAGTGAGCTTATCCAGCCTAGGGGTTTCAATATGCCAATGACTTTCAGATTTATATTTTTAGCTCACATCTCTCTCTTGAATTCAAAGCTACATAAGCAGTTGCCTCTGGACTCCTTCGCTTGAATGTGTCATAAATCTGTCCTAAAACACAACACACCCAAACTGAACTAACCCCCGCCTCTCTGCAATCTGTCCAATCTGCACCCTTCCTTGGTCAATGGCAATGCCATTCTTCCAGTTGCTCCAGCCAAAAGCTTTGGTCTCATGCTGACTCTTTCCCTTATACTTATTTCTAGCAGATCAGAGAATTCAGGCGAATCTACTTTTAAAATGTATCCAGCATTCAACTGCTTTTCAATATTTGCCACTGCTGTGGTACCACTCTTGCCTGAGGCACCATGATGCCTTGCCTCCTAATGGGTCTCTTTACTTCTGCTCTTGCTTTATTTCAGCATAGCAGCTAGGACAACCCTTTAACAAGGTTAGAGAGTCCATGCTACGCCTCTGTCCAAAACCTTGCAGTGGTTCCTACTTCCTCTACACTTGTTCCCCAGCTACTCTGCTTTCCCTGTGGCATCCCAGCATGCTCCTGCTTTAGGCGTGGGCCTTGGTACTCAGGAATGCCTGTGACATTCCTCCCCTAGCTAGCCACACGGCTCACTCTTTCATATCCTTCAACATCTGCTCAAATCTTCCTTCCCACTGAAGTCCACCCTGACCTGACCACCCCACTTAAAACTGCAAGCACTCCCCTGACCATTCATATCCCCCCATTAGATCTTATCACTTTTTAACATTCAAGATACATTCCTTAGTTATTCTGTTTATTGTTTACTGTATGTAGTAGCTGATTGATTGTGTCAGCTTGAGAAGTTTAGAAGCTTAACTAAATCAGCTCAGCAATTTTACAACCTAGGGTGTAGAGGACCCGCCCTAGGGTGGCTTGTTGCCTGGATGGTATAAAAGGGAAATGAGGAAGGATGGACAGTTTTCCGTTCTTCAGAGGAGCTCCAGTCTTTGCCATCAGGTTGGACGTCACCTCCGGGCTTCTAGCACAGACTCTTCTGCTTCTGCCTTGGATCCTTCAACCTTCCATCATAGACTTGTCAACCTTCTGTCGCAGACCCATCAGCCTCCTGATGGGAACTTGGATAAGACACTGCAGTGAACTCCAGACCTTGGACTGAAATCTTCAGTCTCCAGTGTGCAGACACCTCTGTGTGCTCTTGCTCATCTAACTCTGTGGCTGACCATCATAAACCGATCTTATAATTTCTTATACAGTTGTATATCTTGTGTTATATCTGTTTCTCTAGTAAAACCCTGACTGATACACTGCATTTCTCCTTAGTTGGAATCTAAGTTTTACAAAGGCAGGGCTCTTGGTTCCACTCACCTAGAAGTGGGCTTGGCCTACATTTGAGAATCAACACATTTATTGGATGTTGCTGAATAGCTATCACAGGGCTAGAAAGAGGGACTGAGTGACTTTGGTCCAGGGTGCTTCACTGAGAAATAGGGAGTGAGGGTGCCTTGCTCAGCTGTGGCTCATAGTCATTAACTCCATGTATTTCCTTAAGATGGAGTTTTTCTAATTATTTGGATGTCAACCTGAGTTTTTGTCCTGAGAGCAATCTATAGTTTTTATTTGCTTAATACTCTTCCTTAAATAGACTTACTGTCTGACCAATAAATTTATTTTCAAAGAAAATTTTATATCATGGCCTTGATATGCTTGTTCAATTTTCCTAATACATATTACAATAAACATATAGCTATTAAATGTAAAGTTATTAAACATAAAGCTATCAAATATAGAGCCATTAGATTACACATATAGCTATTGCACAAACATAGAGCTATAAAACATTCATCCGTCTTTCCTAAGATAATGTTGACAGTGCTCAGTGGTAACCTGCCTATGCTTTCCTCCCCACCAGAAAGGCCTTCCTGCCCACCTGCCTCCCCAAAGCCCACTGTCTTTCCCCAGGAAGCTCTCGCAGCTCTTTAAGCTGCCTTCTCTGAGCTCACACTTGCAGAAAGGCATAATCCAATGGTTGTACTCTTACAAACGTTTGGTTTTGTTTTATGTTTCACACCATAAAATTATAAAATGTCTTCTTAGGCTATGGTAAAAGAGATATAAGAGTATTCAACTCTATTGCTTTAAAGGTCGTCAAAGAGATTAAGGGGCTTGTTCCAAACCATTGCCAATTAAGGGGCAAAGCTAAATCTAGAACTTGAGTCTTCTGATTCGTCACTCTCAGTGGGGTAATCCACACGCACTCACCGGGGCCTTATAATGTGCTTGGCATTGTACCAGGCACAGGAGCTAAGGGTGAACTGGAGTCAGATTTCATCCACAGAGAGCCTGCAGTGTATTCAAGAAGCCACACACTATCATGATGATGGAAGCCACATTACTATGTGATGACGGAAATCATTGCAAGGGCACAAATGAGTTGAACTGTGACACTGAATAGGAGCCAGCTTATTTCTGGGGGTCACCAAGCCTGACTAAGGAAATAGGCACAGGAGTCAGCTGAGGAGGACATGGGAGAGATTTTAAATAGTGCCAGACCTGCTTTGGTCCTGGCAACTCAGCTGGTTTATTGAGACTACTGTGACCTATTTGTCACCGTACTCAGGGGGAGACTCTCTCACTTCAGAAGTAGCTCCAGTGGTTTCCTCCACTTGCATTCAGCAAGGTGACAGGAGACATTACCAAGCCTGTGCTGGAGGAGACCCCTCCCTTCTCACTGACAGAGTTTGGGCATCATGGACATGTTGGTTATTTTGCCAAGGGAGTGCCTACAACAAGAGCTTTGACATCAACAACAAAAAACAAACAACATTACAATGGAAATAATCCTTAGTTCCTGGATGTGGGCAATGCTAGTGTTCCTGTATTTACAAGACACACAGCAAAGCCTCAGATAGTTTGACCTAATTGGTAAAATGTGAGTTCTTCAAAAGAAGATGCATCTCCATCTCTGAGCTACATCCAGAGTTTATCTTCATGTTTCCATCTGGTTGTTCAGTATGGTGGCTAAGAAACTCCAATGACATCTGCCTTTGTCTTAGATAATTAAACCTACCAAGCAATGTGATGTAGAGCAAGGTAGCAAAGGGATGTATCTAGATCCAGAAAGAGCCTCTGGTATTCAACCTCTGGTTCTGCCTTTTCCTGGAATTGGAAATTGCTCCACACTTTTGAGCCTCAATTTCTGCATCTGAAAAATGGGGATAATAACAATCCCGGCACCCTGTGAGATTTCTGAGACATTAAATGAGGGTATGTGTGAGAACTCTTTTATAAGAGCTAAAGGGCTACAAAATGCCACTGAAAAATTAAGCTCCTGGCTTGAATCCCCTTTCGTAAAACTCTACATGAGGCTCCAGGAGAGATGAGGTTGGAGCAAAGGTCTCTGGACTCCTACTTGGTTTCTTTTTGCCAGGTTCCTGCATGGGGCCTGCCTTCTGGTAGAGCAATTACTGGCAAGAGCAAGTTCCTGGGGAAATGAATATGTGCTGGAGGGAGAGGAAGGGAGGAGAGTAGAGGGATCTCAGTCACGGGTATGCAGGGGACAGTGGAGGGGCAGGGGGACAAAGACTAACTCTCCTACCTTCTCAGTGTGCCAGGGCTCTGAGGTTAAGCCTTTTCGGGTCAGAGTTCTTTATTGCTGCCTCTTCCTCCTCTTGCTGTCTTTGTGTGCTCAGAGCTGACTTAGCATAAAATAACATGCTTTTTAGAGCATTTTGAAAGCGGAATTAAGCTTTAATGATCAGGTTTGGTTCCTTGGTATTTTCTTTCAAGCAAAGGCCATGTTTTTGTAAGATACTCCATTTCAATGGGGCTATTCTTTTGGTTCCAGCAAACATTCCCGAGTGGTAGGTTTTAGGAGGTGTTCCAGTTTATTGCTCCTGGTGTCCAATAAACTTGGAGGATCTGTCTGCATGCCCCCCCTAAGGCCATGTTATTTCAGAAAGTTACAGCTCTTAAAATTGTCCTTTAATAAAAGCAAGTGCCATTAATTCTAAGGAAAGTGAGCTTTCCAAATAAGACCAGCTGCGAATGTTAAAAAAAAAAGAAAAGAAAAAAAGAGGAACTTCACCAACAGGAGTCCGTAAGTGAAAACTACACACTGCAGAATTTTCTCAGACATTTTCACAGCCATTTAAAAGGATGTCTGTAGCAAATTTATCCAAATTAGCTAAAAATGCTCGACACGATGGACATGTTGTGACTGTAGGCCAATATTCAATCCACGTGGAGGAATCCAAAAGGTAGATGTACCTACCAAAAAAAATGGACACATAGGGTTTGTGATAATGGCTACACAGAGGGGGAAGCAGAGCATGAATTCCTTGGTAAGAGCTCAGGTTGGGGCAGGTCCCCAGGGGCCCGGCCCTCACCCATAACTCAGTCAGCTTGGCAAAGGGTCACAAATCCTCAAAGGATCATGGTGAGACTTGGCCCCCGTAACTCAAGGGAGGAATGACATCTACGTCAAGGTCTGTTTTTTACAAACAGGTAATAAGGTGGATATTTAAAATTTTTCTTATTTACAAACAAACCAGTCTGAGGACATACTGAGCGTGTGGAGGGTGAGTAAGGGAGTCTGAGTGCTCAGATTGACCCTCGGCTGCAGTCATTTAGATGGCTTATCCTTCAGCTAAGTAAGTCCTTGGCTGGCAAGAGTGTCTTCAGCAGTTCTTTGTTGTAAACTTCTATTATTTAATTCATGTTCATAACGGCTTGCTAGTTCACAGCAGGGTGCACAAGAGATATACAGGAGTGAATTACACCCAGCTTTAGAAGGAAGACCAGAGACTCCACAATATTGGTGACTTACTTGAAGCTGAAATTGTGTTTTATCTGGAGGGCTTCTTTGCCCATAATTAAGTACTGTCTTCCTTTCACCAGGTCAGCATTTGCACAGGCCATCTTTTTAACGAAGGTGATTTCAGAGCCTTTCTCAGCAACAGCTTCCCCTGAGAGACACAGAAGGAAGATTGTCTTTTTTTTTGTTTTGTTTTTTTTTCCGGTACCAGGAACCGAACTCACAACCTTGCACTTGCAAGGCAGGCGCTGTGCCGCTGAACTAAATCCCCAGCCCCAAGGAAGATTGTCAAATTCACATTTTAAAGTCACAATTATGAACTCGGTCAAGATATCCAGTTCCTTGGGGCAGCTAGAGAGTGGCAAAATATCCACACTGTTAAGACTTCAGGCTCTGGAACCAGACTGTCTGGGTTAAAGCCCAGCTATGCCACTTTCTGGGGATTCACTTGTGCGGCTCTGGGCAGATGATTTAAGTTCTCTGGATGAAGGCTCAGTCCCCTCATCTGAAAATGGGCACAATAACAAAACCTACCTTGTAGAACTCTTATGAGATTACATGAGTTACTATATGACAATGCTTAGAATATAGTAAGAATCATGTTTTTGCTGTTACTCTTGTAGATGAACAACATTAATCTCTAGATGTTATACAGCAAAATATAAAAGTGTTTGGTAGCTGGAAACAGTTAACTTTGTAGATAAAAGAGAGATGGCAAAAAATAGGGAGGTGGAATTTTTGGAGATGAGAAAAGGGGAAATGGGAAAGGACAGAGAGGCAGGTGAGGGAGGAAAGAAGCTAAAATGATCAAAATTACATATTTGTACAATTTATGTACAGATATATAAATTCCCCCCCCACAGATGTAACTATTGTGTATCATAAATATATGCTAATAAAATCATTAAAAAAGAATTAATACAAAATAAAACAACATATTTCTGGACTGAAAAGCACTTTATTACCTCAGTTAAAAAAAGTGGCTTATCATTGCTGTGATATGGATATTAAGGGTAAATAGTGCAGAACATTTGGGTGGTGGGAAGACCATAGTGCTAAACACTTATTTCCTCAGAACGGCATTCAGAAATTCAAATAAAGCTTTATGACCATCAGTGAGGAAAAAATAAAATAATATCACAGATCAATTTCATGTTTGAAATAATAAAAGTAGGAATATTTTTGTCAGTGTTGACAAAGCAAATAAGAACTTGTAGAGTATTATTAGAATTTTTAACCCTCTTTAGAGTTTGGCTAACAATAATCAAATATTTTCAGACTTGAGGTACTTGATAGAATTTCAGCAGAGCAAAAATTGACATACTGTCACAATTTAGAAATATGGTCCTAATTATGGCAGAATTTATAGCTACTGAAATGAGCAAACAGCTTTTGGGAGGATATAAATAAGGCAGGAAGAGAAATTTTAAGAAAACTGTTTTAAGTAACTTAAAATGAAAGTTGACTTTAAAGATGGCTTAGAATTCTTTGTTGATCCCAAACTACTAGAAGTAATAATTGAAAAATGTATCAAACTATTCTGCTGAGCTTTGAGGTAAAAGGAGTCAATGAGAAGCATTTATATCAACTTCTAAAAATTTTAATTTTATTTTTAATTATTATATATTTGTGGTGCATACTGTGTACATGCCCCGTGTGGCGTGGGCCTGTGCACGTGACACATCTTCAGTCCTTTTTTATCCCCTTTTCCTTCCTGTCCACCTCTCTCCCTCCATCTCTTGATCCCCTTCCCATTCGGGAAAGATCTAATTCCCTACTTCCTATTATCTGTCTTTTATTTTGCTCTTTATTTATAATTTGGGCTTCTCAAAATATAATACATCTCCTCAAATATAATATAAGCTTTATTTTTATTTTTATTTCTATTTTCTTTGTTGTTGTTGTTTTTTTCCGGTACCAGGACTCAAACTCATGACCTTGTGCTTGCCAGGCAGGCACTGCACCGCTGAGCTAAATCCCCAGCCCTTAATATAAGCTTTATGAAGCAGAAACCTGACTGTTTTATTCAAGTTATGTCCTCTGTGCCTACTATAATGCTGAGCACATAGCACTAAATATTTGTGGAATGAAAGAAAGAATGAATTAATTCTCACCTGCTTTATAAATGTCCAGAAGAGTGGCAGTGTACTTGACAAAAACATTTTCTTTCACCATGGATGTGATGCTGACTTTATAAGCTGGTAACAAAACAAAACAGGACAAAAGCTAAATAATCCAGGCTGAATACCACCAGTGCCAGGTCCACTACAAGCCAGAATTTGTCAAACAGATGAGAACTGAAGCATGGCAAACCATTTGGTCACCCTGAAGTTGATCTTATTTTTTCCAAGGATCCTCCCCAGATCCCTTCAATCAAACTATTACAGCCTTTAGCCCTGGCTAAAAAACAGGCTGGTTAGGATAACAGCCATACTAAATAACAGAAGCACATGAAGTAACCAAACAAGATCAACTTGTATTAGAGGCAAAATTCAGATGCAAATCCTTGGAGTGTTGAGGTGGAGTCACGCCCATGAACACCCTTTGAAGATCTGCTCCCTTCCCTACCTGGCCACAGAGGGAACCGTGATCTATCAATCAAACAAGGTGAGCCACCTTGTTTCCTTGCTTTGCTTTCTTGTACAGTTCCACTGGCTGTGGTGTTTGGTTTTTAATAGGATTCTGTTTTCTCACTTATCTTTGCCTAGATTATCTTTCCCCAGTCCTGTTTTCAAAGATTAAGGCATCGATATTTGACACATCGTATATTTGACCTCAGTTCTGGAATAACCAGCTTACAGTGAACCATCCCTTTATTTGTCCTTATAAAAATCTTTTATTTTTCTCTTGATAGGCTTGCAGTGCAAGATCTAAAATGTTTGTCCATATTTGCGATCCTTCCAATCTATGAACCTATCCCAAATATAGAGAAATGGTCGATAAAGAGGTGAATTCACCATGCACAATCACATGATATGTAAATTATTGTCTTAAAATGTATGAAAAATATTCTGAATTTCAGATTTGTAAATTTCTGTGGGAGATATAGGCAGGGTACCACTATCTGGGCAAATGTTGAGAGGGAACTGGTTTACTTTGTTTCCATTATGTTATTCCACTAACAGCTTACAGTCTCTGGCAAAAGCCAGTGGAGTGCTTTCTGGAAAATAGTGCAATAAATTCATGTAACATTTATTCTCCATGATAAGATAGATTTCTGATATTTCCGAGTTAAAACAGTTCTTAGAGGGAGGGAAGAAATAATGCAGTGAAATTTGTGTTTGTTTGCTAAAATAATACAGTACTTTCTTCAGGTCTTGACATATTTTTAAAACTGCAGTGGTTCTTGGCTGGGAAAGGCAGCTTTTAGAGATTTTTAAAAAGTCAAGATGAATTATAGTACACAGAGTTTATTCTGATGGGGGTATTTCCATTAAAGGACTTCAGTAGACTATAAAGGGAGTAGTACTGAAGACAAGGATGCATGCTAGTCCTGCTGAGTACTTCCTGCATGACCTTGAGCAAATTAAGCTCTCAAAGCCTCAATTTCTTCACTGGTAAAATAGTAATAAAGTTCTATAGACCCTAATGAAAAACCATATGTGAAATCAATTGGTAAATACAAAGTGCCAAACCAGCTATACTTATTTTTATTTATATGTAGTATCCTTGTAGTCCTCAAAAACAAAGGAGTTGAGATAATGCACAGTATGATCCCCCGACCCCGTGTGTGTGTGTGTGTGTGTGTGTGTGTGTGTGTGTGTATCTCCTTTTCTCTCAATCTCTTTCTCAAAATAAAACAGCCAGAAATAAACATGGGAAACTATGGATAGAAAAGAAGGAACTAATTCTATCAGGAACATGACAACAGGCTATAAATGTACTTGTGCACTTATTTAGCTCTGAGATCGGGACAGCCAGGAGGATATCTGGTTTTTGAAATGGAGAGTCTCAAATACAGATTAAAGCTGAGCATATATTAAAAATCATTTAGTAGATCTACTTTTGTGCTGAAGAGATTTTTAAAGAGTGAAGCCCCCAGAACCCCACTTATTTCTGCCTCTGCTCTATCAGCTGGAAGAATACAAAGCTGAAGTCTTATATATGTCTCTGTAGCTTCTGCAAAGTTCCCTTTGAATATGTTTTAGTGTCTGCAGTTCAACACATTAAAGTGTCTAGGTCGGGTATGTATGTCAGTTCCATTATTTTAAATGAAAATCACATTTCTATACTGAAGAATTAATAACTTTTCACCTTTATTCTTTTCACCTTCTGAAAGTTGATGACATTTTCCTTCAGGGGAACGAATGGAGTACTATATTCATATAATCAGTGTGTAAAGTTGTTGGTCTAATTGATCATGTATTCATAAAATTTCACATTGAAAGGAAATCTATCAAACTTTTGAACTTACCATATGTAATTTCTGGTTTGCATGCTATTTCTTTCCTAGCATCTGCAGAGATTGTCAGATCCAGTTCTTTCTCCATTTTCCCACAGTCAGCTGGATTATACGAAAAGGAGAGTAGTCAGGTTAATATAAAGAAGCAGTCACTGTCTTTGGGAGTAAACATGGTTTCTTGTGAAATCCATGTTTTCCCTCTCTTCCACAAAGCATTATGTAAAGCAAAAGATTATTTAAATCAAAAATGAAACTAAACAAATAAAAACAAAATTTTGACCATTAGACTTATTCTTAGAATGGGCATTCACTGACATTCAACTTTTTAGAAATGTACATGTTTCTTTTAAATTAAAGAGGACATTTCCCATTTTGAGTATACTCAAAATCCTTTGAAGGATCTAAAATGGTAATGTGACTGATTAGTAGCTACAGGTGGTGAAATAAATACCTATGCAATGTGTAGATATTAAGGACTTTGAAAATGAAACCAAAACCAACTCTGGCCCTCATGGTGCCAGTTGACTATTGATGAATCCTGGATCTTTTCTTTGGTCAAAAAGACTGCCTTGGATTTACAAAAGACTGAATGGAACTAGGCAATAAAAGAGAATTCCATTAACTGGGTGGTATAAGGGGGAAAAAGAGGATCTAGTGCATTAGCCCCGAGTCTGTTCTCTTGGGTTGCGCTCTTATGTTAGAAAGATCGGGTGAAAGTGGAGACTCCACACCATGTTACCCTGAGGGTAGCCAACAGCCATGTGGCTGGTGTTTCTTTGCTCCTGTACAGTATTCTACTGGGTTGTACAGGAGTTGTAGAAAAGCAGTTTATGATGCTCACTCATTTTCATTCAGCTGGGATTACATTTCTACTTCTGAGAAATGATAGTTTGCCAAACAGTTTCTCCCAGATTAACCTCAGGTTAAGACTGGCTGCATTAAATAAGCATGCAACCTACACATGTCAGATGTTTACCTTCTACACACTTGCACATTGCTTCTTCACAGATTTTCTGAAGTTCGGTGACAGAAGAGCTATAAAACATGGTGCACTGTTTATCTGTGGCAAAAAGAGTGTGGTTATGAGAAGTGGCTTGATTGATGTACAACACGTGTACTGGTTAGTGTGTCTCTTACATGGAACTTCAGAGATTGCCTATTCTAAGCATTTCCTTTTGTGGCTAAGGCCAAGAGTGGTTAAATTATGAACTGGTCATCCTGAGAGAGACCTCTGTACTGCCAAAGAGATCTCCCCTTATTAGCTAAGTTCTATGCTTGAAACCTTGCTGTTCAATATTCATTGCTTAGGGTGAAAGTTATTTGGTGCTCCCACAAATGAGATGAAAATAGTTACATGAATATTGACTGAAAGAACTGCAATTGTTTAGGCTTGGTGCCAGAGTTTGGTTCAGTTTAAGGATTTTCTAACAAGTAGAACTGCCCAAGGTGGAGTCCTCTGTCGTGTCTCCAATCACTTAACGTTGCTTGGAAGTGGCTGAGTAGTCAAATGCGGGATAATTCATTCAACAACACATTGAGTACAGATCACGAACTTGACACTATGTTGGATACTAGGGACCCAAGGATGAACATATTTTGTCTGGGAGTGGTAAGTAAGAAAGATACACAACATAAGATAAAATAATTTCGGTGCAATGTGGCCATCATTCTAACATGGCTTTCTGCAAGTTGCAGTGAGAATACAGATGGGTAGAAGTTATCCTAGGATTAATGAAACAGGAGAGTAAGGGTAAATGGGCTTCTCTCAGAAAGAGAGATGCAGAGAATACTGGCAAGGAACACCATGGATAAATTTGAGGAAAATAATTTTAAAAGTGGGGGCAATACACTCCAGTTATTTTTAAAAATGAAGAAATTGAGGACAGACATGGGAAACGATTTTCTCATTATCATGAAGTAGTTTGAATACAGTAGTTCAGAAAATTTGTATGCAATAATTTGAATGTTCAGGCTGAGAGGTTTATAAAGTGGGTGCTAAGAGAAGCAATGTACAATTTATAGGCTTTCACTGAATTTCCACAGGTTGCATAATCTTCTGAAGAAATTTTGGAGTAGAGTTCATTACCTGGCCTGTGATATTCATATACTGTGAAAGTAGCAGGATTCAGAAACCCAACTTGAAAAAGTTCAAATATCCGGAATCGGACACACAAGAAATCATTGGAGGGAATCTGTTTGACAAATTTGAAGATTTAAGAAAATTATAAGGGAGAGGATATTTGCAATAGGTTAGCCTTAAGTTTTGAGCAGGGATAGTAAGGGAAAAATAGCAAGAGGTGAAGCTTACCGAATTCAGTTGCAAAATAACATGTCCATCTTTGACTTGGTAATCAGTTAATAGTTGATCCACCCCTTCCACAAGCTAAGGAAGGAAACCAAAAAAGTTGGATTTAATTTCATCATCTTAATGTTTAATTGCCTTCATCTGTTGGTGGGCCGTTAAACCACAGGCATGTGATCCGCTGTACAAAGGAGCTGAAGAGCACTTCTTAAAAAGTTTGAACACGTTAGCACAGGCACTCAGATTTTTTTGGACCATAATACGCTCCCGATTCACTTTTATAAACCAAAACTTAGGTAGACTGTTGTTTTGGAAAGAATATTTTAGGTACTTGTATGAAAGTGACACCTTAAAATGAAAGACTATAGGTTGTCTATAAAATAATGCAGGAAGGATTCCCAAGCATTCAACAGCGTTTAAAGGAAAACACTTGCAGCTTGTAAGTCTTCTTGGTTTGCACTGATTCCAGTAGGCAGAGAGATATCCATCACCGCATGGGAGGACCCGGATGATGATTCTTCCTTGCTGGGCATGTAGCTAAAACAAATAAGAGATTAGGAAATAGAATAAATATAAGCATAAGAGTCCTTAAGAAAGGGCCCTATTCATTAGCAGGCTTTACTTTTTGAAATTGGGTCTCCGTTTATTTGGTCCTCTGTAACACATGGGTCAGAAGAGTCGCAAGAGATATTTGAGTCATCTATTTCAACTCTTTACTTAACTTGGCCAGTAATTTTCAGGGACCACCATTCTAAGCACAGAAGTCATTCACTCCAAGTGAGCTAGCTGTGGAAACTGCGGAAGAAAGGAAGGCACTCGGGCAAAGTTAGAGTCTACTACAAGCACAGCTGCATATAAATCTAGGTTTCTTAGTTATCGCTCTAGCTCCTTTTCTAGTGGACTAGATTTAAAGTTAAAACTAGTTGTGAAAGATTGGCCTCCCTATTTCCTAATAAAAAATAAAAACAACACAATTAGTTGTAAATTGAAAAGATACTTAAACAGATCAAGGAACAGACTGGAAGGAAATATGTTAGCAGTTACTTTTTCTGAATGGTGAGGTTGTATTTGACTATGCTTTTTCTTTCCCGTGTCTTTCTCCATTTTCCTTACTAGATATTTCTTTAAAAAATAATGTTTCGTGGCTGGGGATTTAGCTCAGCAGCACAGCACCTGCCTGGCAAGTGCAAGGTCGTGAGTTTGATTCCTGGTACCGGAAAAAAAGCCAAAAAAAAAAAAAAATTAAAAATTAAAAAAAAATGTTTCAAGGACTGTCTCTTGTCTAAGAATCATGCTAGTGGCAAGTTCATGAGAAATGCAAAGGTGGTGAAAATGGAAGGTTTTGCTTTGTTTTGTTTCATAAGAAAGAAAAGAATACTGCCAGGAGTGTTTAGAAAATAAGTTTTATTCTAGTTCTGCTGAAGATTTTCACAAATCATTTCTCCTTTTTAAGCTTTGTAAATGGTTTTATCCCAGTTCCGCTGAGTGGGATTTCCACCAATCTTTTCTCCTTTCTAAGCTTTCAAACAGGAAATATAAACTGTTTTAAACTTATCTTTATGATTCTAAGACCTCATGGCTTTAAACAGCAGAGGCTTGGTGCTACGGACTGGTTAGGGGCAGGGGAAAAGCCCATGTTTCATATAAGTGGACCTATATTGGAGGCTGGAATTAGATGTTAGGATGAAAAGAAGAAACTGAGATGACAGCTTCATAAAGGGGGAAATGAACTGATCCCATTCAGTGGAATTAATATTAGTGAAATAGGACATACATGAGTTAGTGAGATGTCAGGGCATATATTTTTCCCAATTACACCTTATAGAGCATATATAAAACAGTCCCCTGTTAGAAGTTTTAGATATAATATCTACCACATAATTAAAAGTATTGGAAAATCTCTGACCTGTAAAAATGTAACCCCATTCTCCACCAAATGCCCCATTTAGGACAGAATGTAAGACATCTCTCAACTGTCCTGTGACATCTAAGCAGCTCCTTAATTGGATGGGTAGAGGCAAAGAAGTCTTGCTCACAGATGCAAATACTCGGTCACCAGGATGGAAAAGGGCCTCCAGGGCGGAGTGTCTGTGAAAAGGTTGCCGGAGCCTTGATGACTGGTTGCCATGGAGACCATTTCAACCAAGGAACTGAAATCCTCCTTTCAAGAAGACTTTGCCTGCTGCCAAAACCAGCAATCTTCCCCAAAGGCATTTTGTTGTAAGAGAAATTAAATCCTTTTTTTTTTCCTTTTCTTTTTTTATGAATACAACAGAGAGGTTGTAAAAAGCAAAATATACGAAAGAGACCCTCTGAGCACAGAAACTATGTGCTGGCATTTTTTAATCGGGAGAGAGAATATTTGAAGGCAAAGAATTTCTTACATGAATGAGGACTACACAGTCCCTTTTGGAATTTACCCAAACTAACTTCAATGTCAAAGAGCCAAATGCATATTCCACCCGACTTTCTGGAACATTCTGTCTCCAATTTGTAAAAACCAAAGGACAGAATATTCAGTATCACATTTTAACTTGATTTCCTTTGTGTACTGACAATGTGGAGCTAGGCCTCCTGTCAATGAAGTCAAAAGAATGAGTTTTTGGTAACAGCCTTTTTATGTATAGTAGAGATATAGACATTTGGAATGGCAGAAACTTTGAGGTGAGATAGTCCAGGATCCTTGGTTTATAGGAAGTCTGGAGGAGTAGGCTTATTTGCTGAAGGTCACTTGAGAACTTCCTGGCAGAGGTTACCCACAGGTGTTATCAGAGTCTTTCTTCATGGCAACTCTAGATGTTGCTCTGCGGAGTCTCATGTTGATTCTAGCTCTGCTCAGAAGTTTGCCCACACCTTCCTGTGACTACTGTTATGGTTTTAAAGGTGACAATGATTGTGCCCCTGTGGGTACCCAAGAGTAAGAATGGTAGGATGAAGGAAGCTGCCAGGAAAGAGCTAGGGAGTGAGGAAAGACATTTGAAAGGGAGCCCAGCAGAGACCGGCCATGGCCGGAAACAGGAAATGCTGGGAGGATGGAATGCTGCCAAGAAAGAAAGCAGGGGTAGTCCAAAGCATCTGAAGAAGAGCAGTGCTGTCAAAAACACAAACAACTCTGAGGAACTGCAAGGACGGAGGCAGTAAAAAACAATTTGTTGTTTCATGGGATTGATGGTCTCAGGTTGCTCTGATTGAAAGAGGGGGCCGGGATCCTAGATTGGGTATCAAAGATCAGGCATTGGAACCCCTAGCTCTGCCTCTAACTGGAAACTTGGCAGATACTTTACCTTTCTGAGTCTCATTTTCTTTATTTCTAAAATAGAAGAATCTCTGTATCATTCCCAAAGGCCCCTTTGTGCTCTAATCTATTACCCAACTGCTAAGTTATCCACACTGAGTGCCTCAGTAGTGTGTGTGATTGTAAATAAAAACAGAAAAGTACACTCATGGGTGTTGCTGGTAGTGACAATATAAAGAGTTAAGAAGACAACCCAGTAAGAAGGATTGGGGGGCAACAGAAAGAAGAAGGAAGAAGCCTGGGTTCAAGTTCTGTCTTTGCCACTAACATTGACTTTTTGTGATAATTTATATGATATTTTTGTGCAAAAATACATATATATGTACATATTTTCAAAACAAGTATACACTTTCATAAACACTTTAGGAGGGTGGCTGTGATAAGCAGACTAATAAGCCCCCAAAGACATCCATGTCCCAATCACTAGAACCTATGACTACTACCTAATGTGGCAAATGGAACTTCATAGATGAAGTTAAGGATCTAAAATGATAGTGGATTGTCTGGGTGGACCCAGTAGAATCACAGGGGTTTTTATAAAGGAGATTCACGGAAGGATGTGACAAGGACTGGAAGACTGTGGTGCTAGCACTGAAGCCACAGGAAAAAGTCAGAAGCCTGAGAACATAGGCAGATTAAAATCTGGAAAAGACAAAGAAACGGATTCACCGCTAGAGTTTCCAGAAGAAATACAGCCCTACCAGCCTTGATTTTAACTTCTGACCTTCAGAACTGTAAGAGAGGACATTTGTATGAAGTTTGCAGTGAATTTTTACCTAACAGCAACAGGAAATGACACCGGCCAATTTAGGCCTCTGCGTTTAGCCAGCAGGTGGTTTAACATCAGTGACTCTCAACCTTGGCGACACCAGAATGCCTTCTGAGGTGTGGTCTGTGGTGTGCCATTGCTGAACATTTTGACAGCAATGTGCAGCGTGCTCTGAGAATGGCTGAGAATTTTGCTGGTTGAATGTGATTTTTCTAAGAGAATAGGAGCTGCTTATAAGTGAATCGTTTTCATTTTTTTCTTTCATGTTTAGATCACATCTCTGCCCTTCCAAAAGACCAAAAAAAAAAAAAAAAAAAAATTATTGCCATACTGTTTGAATCAGAACACAAAAACAGGAGAAAAAACTATAAGTGAGCAAAATCAAAGCAAGTATTTTAGAATACTTGCTCTATTCTGCATTTAAAAAAAGAACGCTTTTGTTTGTTTGTTTTTGTTTTTTCTCCGGTACCGGGAACCGAACTCACGACCTTGCACTTGCCAGGCAGGCGCTTTTGCCACTGAGCTAAATCCCCAGCCCCTTAGAATGCTTTTGTATCTTCTGGACATCTTAAAATTAAAAAGATAAAGAGAAATATTATAACAAAAGTAAGATACTGAAATCTACACTTTACTTTGTGCAAATGGCTCACCTGGCACATGCTATTATGCGCTTATATCCGGAGTCACCGAAGCCACTGTCTCTGGGTGCTAGTAAACAAATAAACAGGAAGTTAACTGTGTTTAGTTGTTTTGGAACTTGTCAGAAAGGATCATTCTTGAGAAAGCCTGAACACACTTAAAAAAGATTTGTGATCTGAAAACTGGCACTTCTGGTGATTTTAATGGAACTTCATGGCTACCAGCAATACCAAGAAGACTTCAAATAATTCCAACAGTTCCCTGCTGTCAAAGAATTTATAATTTCAGGAAGGAATCGTTTAGCATATGTATGTACTGGAAATGTATTTGGGGCATGTTGAAGGGAGGAACAGCAGATGCCTGGATTTGCTGGTAGTTGGAAGTTTCCTGTCGGAACAGGCCACTGCGCCACCCAAGGAAGCAGTGCATGCTCTGGCCCTGGGACAAAGGTCAAAGGAAGAGGGCTGGAGAGTGCAAGTGACACTCTTGCCTTTGGGACAGGGAAGTGAGATCCAACCTGCAGAGGCATGGGAAGCCTGCAGGCTTTTTTTTAAAAAGGTGGGGGGCACACATAAAAAGACCGTAAGTACTAGAAGGACCATCAAGATAAAACAGAGGCAGAGAAATGTGCATCTGCTGGATCCCATACAGGACAGAAAGGCTAGGGGTGGCAAACTAACAGGGTTACAAGAAAAATGAGGGTCCAGGAATGAAATGCCAAGACAAATATCACGGAAATTCAAATGAATTAGATTTTTTTATGGTCTCATTTGCAACTAGTTACACTCTTTAAAAGTAATATAAACAAAACATCATCATAATAAATGCAGTTAGCTAGTTATTAAATTATTTAACATTAGTTTCTATTATTAAAGAGTTATATATATTATAATAAATGGCAATAATGTTTACTTGGATGTCAACCTGCTTGAGAATTAGATTAAGATATTTTGTTTTATGAACAAGCACATTTTCCCTACTAAGGGGAGCTTTCTATATGACATTACACGTAAGCCCAAATTACAATGTAAATCATGCTGTTTTACCTTCAATGTTCTGAGTATCAATTTTCAACTGAAAGCTGCAAACTTCCTCAGAGGTACTGGTTTTATGAACTACAGTTTTTACCTACATTGGGGCATGGAAACAAGAAGATTCTATTTAAAACAGGAAAATGAAAACGGTATTACGGCAGTACTGCTGTGGCAAATGGGATGCTTGCAGTATTATTTTCAGCATCCAGCAGGAGTGGTGACTATAAATGATTCATTTTCCCAACAGCTGGACTTTCATTAAACTCCATAATCTGAAGCATATCAGAAACCAAAAATGGCCTCAGGCCATTGGTCGAATCTGAAAACCCTAGACTACAAGAAAGATGCTAAGTTCTTGTTATTGATTCTGTACACCTTAAATGTACACAACATAATTATACTATATAATTCCTACAAAGCTAGGAAGTGTGATTTTATCCCAACCTACACACCATCAAGATAAAAAACAAATTACGTGTGTGTTTGGATGGGTAAACCTGTTGCCAGAAGCGACAGAGAAGCGGATAGTCCACTCTCCCTCATGCAGTCTTACATACAGTCCTGGAAAGAATAAATGTACTAAAATCAAGAGCACAATTTAAGCCACCAGTAAAATATTAATTTCTGCTCAGAACACAGTTTAAAATAGCATGGCCATTTATAAAGAGCTTGGAAAAACTTGTAACTGCTACTTGACTAAAACAAAGGAAACTGAAATCTTTACATATAACACATCACTCCCCAAAGATGCTGCTACATGAGATGTGACTATGTTACCAACCATAGAAAACGTCACACATATGCACATATGTGTTGTATGCATATACACATACATGATAAAAATTATATCTCTATATACAGACATATACCACATAATCATGGGGATGTGTTCTGAAAAATAAGTCATTAAGTGATTTCAACACTGTGCAAACACCATAGGGTATATTTATAAAAACTAACAATTTTTTTTTTTTTTTTTTGGTTTTTCTCCGGTACCGGGAACCGAACTCATGACCTTGCGTTTGCCAGGCAGGTGCTTTGCCGCTGAGCTAAATCCCCAGCCCCTAAAAACTAACAAATTATGGTGTCACTTGTGATACAATCTTACATGACCACCATCATATATGAGGCCATCTTTGATACCAATATCATTATGCAAGGCATGAATATATATAGTTATTACTATATAATTTCTACAAACATACAGAAGGTACTCTTTTATGGATATATGAAGATTAACACAGTCATCAAAAAAAAATCGTGAAAACAGCTGTTCAAGACAGCTAGAAAGAATTATGTAATTTTTTTGAATCCTACTTTAGTCATGGTTATCCAAGCTCAGATGTATTAGTCTGTGGCAAAGTGCTTAACCTAGTACACATGGACATATAACTTCTTATTGGCTCTCAACTGAATACTCACATGTACCGTAGCCAAGCCATTGCTGTATCCTGTACTGATGATGAGGTCATCGTTGAGAGGCACCTGGAAAGATGAATAGAGAAACCATGCTTTCAATCATCATCATTTAATAGGAAGGGAAGATACAGCAATGAAAAGTGTGGGCTGACACTTTAGGGCTCTCGTGAGACCAAACGGATAAGACATTGAAAACCCCATGCCCGCAGTCGGCACTAAAGGATGCCGGAACTTCCTCTTTCCTTTCCATTTGTAAATAAATTATCTGAGATCTCCTGAGGGAGCCAACAAACCCAGCACACCAGAAGTCACTTTTGTTTGCATTTTTACTTGTTCATGGTTATGGTAAAGCTGAGTCTTCATTTCCTTTGGCCAACTGAATAAATTTTTTTCAGTATCTATAGCTCAAGAATTAGCATCTACCTCTGGAGATCATTTTCAGCATCTGATGTGTGGTTGGAGATTGTTTCCATTAGCACCGAGATACGAGACTCTAAAGCGGGTGCAAAATATCTTCAGCCCTCTTCTGCCTTTCCCTTCGCACCCCTCTTCTACATCTTGATGGTTCATCTTGTCTGCTTGTCACTGGCCTTTGTCCAAACATCTGGTACCCTGCCCCCATCCCCTAAGCCTGCTAAATCCATTGCTACTTCCCGCTCTGTTAAGAGGAAAGTGAAGACATGAACTCCTTTCCAGAGGAAATCTGTGATCCAAATGCTCTCTAATTTCTGGAAAGTATGGGAGACATCATTTTGAGCAAGAGCCTGAAAAGTCAGCTTTTCCTTCACTTCAAGTCTGCAACTTCCCCTTTTCTCTGCCTAGCACATAAATGCAAACTGGACTTGCTGTGCACAAAAGCTTCTCAATCCTTCTTTGCAATTTTAGTAAACCTAGGCAAATCGGCCACCTTTACTATTCTCCAGACAGAATACAGCAGTCTTTAGGGGAGGACAAGTGCCTGAAGAGGCTACTGGAGAAAAGGTTTCTGTGACAAATAAATTTGGGAAACACTGTACATTGTGCCCAGTCTCTTTCTCAGTCACTACACTGAGTTACATACATAGGAGAGGACAGGAGAATCTTGCATTGAAAAATTTGTTTAAGTTCATTTAAACTACAGTTTCCATGCTTTCTTGATCACCTAACTTTTCTTCATGGAACACTTTTCAGGAAATGCTGGTGTAGAGAATTCCAAACTAGATCTTACAGTTCAGGTTTCACAGGGAAGCAGCATCCTGGGCTCAGGTTTCAAGGGAAGGTGAGAATTAAATTAGTATTTGAAATCTCTGTTCTTTAATTACTGGCATCAATCTGTGTGTATGCCTTTGTCTATTTCTGTGTCGTTTCTCTTTTTCACTATAGGCCAACAGTTTTCCATTTCTATACTGAATTTTAGTTTTCATACCTATTTATTTTTCACAGGCATAAATTTGTGGAAGTTCTAAACAGGGAGTACTATTCCCAATTATTTGTATTTTTAAGACAAATATGATAATTACAAAAATATGTGTTAATAGCCATATCCTGGCAGCTAATAATAATATACAATCTACTTTTCTCCAATGTCTCTTTTTCCTTGGGAAATTTTCATAAGCCAAAGCTTTCACTCTTAAAAATCCAGCAGTAGCAAAGGACACGAGGCAAGGGATTGGGAAATTTAAAGGCCAAATCCAAGCTGGCTATAGTCTGCATAGATGACAAGGGCCTAAAGGAACCACCAGCAAACTCCCAAGCACCGTTACTCGTCCTCTATGATGGTAATTTGGTATGTGCTGTTACCTTTGCCTGGGATGTTCCTCCCTTTTCTATGACTGGCCAGCTCATTCTGCTCCTTCCAGATCTGATCCACGTATTTGGGCATGTTAGACAAATTCACCACTTCCCAGCCTGGATCAAGGGCCCCTCCTTCTGTATTTCATGTACCCACCAAGGCTCTTATTTTTCACTGTATGTTTATTTCTTTTTCTTTTATTATTTATTTATTTATTTATGTATTTATTTAGTCTTTTTGTGACAGGGTCTCTCTATGCAGTTCAGGCTGGCCTTGAGCTTACTTTGTAGCCCAGGCTGGTCTCAAACTTGCAACAATTCTTCTGCTTCAGCCTCCTGAGTGCTGACATTATAGGCGTGCCCCACCACGCCTGGCTTCACTCTGCATTTAAATGACTGTCTTTGGGTTTTATTTTTGAACCTCAGGGCCCACAATATAACAGATACCCCTGCCTAAGACACAGCAAGTACTCAACCTATGTTTACATAGTGAAATACATTTGTACGATATGGGTGGAACAGATGATTTCAGTGATTCCATATAATTGTAAAACATTATGAAAAGTTAATTACCTCTACTGGTCTCCCAAGGAAATTCTTGTCTGTCACCTTATAATGGTAGAAGTCACCTTTGTGCTTGTAGGAGACATTGATATCCATATTCAGTTGGTGCTGTTTACTGAGGAGTGAATATTCTGTCAGGCCTTCGATGGCATTAATTGTATCCTATCAACAATCAACAAGAGACAGAAATATGTTTAGGTTATTTGTATAACCCATGTGTGCAAACAGGTAGGGAGCACTGTCTGAAGACAAAACTCCTGTTGAGTGAATGAAGCCAGCTAACGGCCCCATTGTGGAGAAGGAAGAGCTCTGTCTTCCCAATAAAGATGTTAGCAGGAATAGGAAGGAAACATGTCTTCCCAATAAAGATGTTAGCAGGGATAGGAAGGAAACATGTCTTCCCAGATGGGTCTCCTCTGTACTCTGCTGGTGTCACCGGCAAGTCAGGCAGTCGCTCCTTGTGGAATGCCCCTGGCTCTGCTTGGTTATCTTTCTCATTCTCCAGTCTTAGACTAAATACTTCCACAGTGAGGCTACAAACTCTCCTTTTCCTTTATTCTATGTTTTGATGTTCACTTTTCTGCTTAGTATATCAATTTCTAATACCATCTATCTCAATTTATAACAATTTTATTCATAGTTAGTTCACTGTTGACACTCTCACTCCATAATGTGAGATTCATGGGACAAATAGGTAGCATATATTTCTTGGTATGTGCTATGATTTGAATGTGTTTCCTAAAGTCCATATGTTGTAACTTAATCTCCAATGTGGAAGGGTTGGAGGTAGAGCCCAATGGGAGGAGTTTGGGTCACAGGAGCAAGTGGATTCCTTATAAAGGGGTGAGTTTGTCCCCTCTTGTGTTCTCTTTTGGTTCCTTCTTGCCCTCTCTTTGCCCTTCCTTCATAACATGATGCAGCAAAAAGGCCCTTGCCAGATGCTGACGCCTGAATCTTGGACATTCTGGTCTCCAGAACCATGAGCATCTCTCCAGAACATTTCTTTCATTATAAACAACCATGTCTGTGGCATTCTGTTACAGCAGCACAAAACTGACTGAAAGTGTTCACTGCATTTAGTAGGCACATGTGGTGGATATTCAATATATATTTGTTGAAGGAATAAATGAATGAATGGTGTCTTTGGACTTCATTTTCCTTATCTATAGAATCAGGAAATGTGACTAGATCAGAGATGTTAAATACACGGCTGCTTCCTCTGCCTATGTCTCTGGCAGCCAGTGTTAATCAACTGGGCACTTTTTTCTGTTAAACCCATAGTTGTGCCCATGGCAAAACCCATTAGATGTTCATTAAATCAATCCTAAAGAATCCTTGTGCCTCTAACTTTATATGTATGCATATATACACTCTAAACATCCTGGAGACAGGGAAGATGTTGACACTTGAGCTAAACTTTGAATACAGACATGCAGTCATGTACCACTTAATGGCAGAAATATAAAAATGTGTTGTGCAAGTTGGCGTGCAAACATCTTGGAGTGTACTCATACATGCCTGGATAGAATAGGTCAGTGAGGGGAAAACTTTTAGAGCTTTCAGTGATACAGACAGCCCCTGCAGCACATGCGCCATCAGTTCATCACCAGTGGTACAGGTCAGTCACTCAGTGTGGCCTCTTGACAATGTCAAGGGACATGGTAAACATGAGATGCATGGAGCTGCTATTGGAGGAATGTGGCATACTATTTTATAGTAAACTTTCTCAAAAGTAGAATGAGTACAAATTAAGATAATGATAAAAAATATATGTGTGGATAGCATGAGCAAGGCCTTAGGTTAGACTCTCCCCAAAGAAAGTATAGTGTAGTAAATATACAAACCAGTAACACCATTGTTTATTATCACCCTAGCATTCATTATCAAGTATGTGTACTATATACATGTGCTATGCTTTTGTGTCATGATAAGGAAATAGCTTAACCACCAATACGTGAGTAATGTGTTGAACTGTGACATTTCGATTACTACAATGTCACTAGACAATAGGAATTTTTCAGCTCCACTGTAATCTCATGGATCACTGTTGAATATGCAGTCTGTTGACAAAAATATCAGTATGTGGCACATGACTATATGTTACATAACTGCAGACTAGTTATAAATATGTATATATATAATATTCTAATGACTGAACAATCAGTGTTTCAATTTTTATATTTTGCAGGGGAGGAACATCAGTTTTTACCTCTACATAGCAACTGCTATTTATTACACAGACTATGATAAAATTGCAGGTATTCTTAGTAGGTTTTCACTGTCACTAAGAATCGTGTAGGGAAGCACTGGACTTAGGCTTAGGAGACATGAGTGCTGATCTTGGCTCTGCCACTGAATCTCTGACTGAACCTTGCTGGGCATATTTCTTCCTCTGTAGCTACTCTCTAGGGAACCTTCCCTTCTAGACATTTGGTGGACAAAGGCGTGGAGGGCAGACTGAGCGTGGAAAATATCGTATGGGAAACAAAAAGCACATAGGAGAAAGACAAAGACATAATACCTGGGTTGAATAAAAGCCGCCTCCAGATCTCTGCTCTTCTGACAGCCATTTGATGATTGGGTTGACATAATTCATCTCTTTCAAGTTCAGGCTGGTGAGTAAAGCATAAGAAGTGGTTTCCACCATACCTGCTGTACCAGCATTAGGTGCAGAGGTGTCTGTAAGTTGGCGACTGTCTTTCCAAAAACGGTAAATGGGTGGATTACCTGATATCAACACATCACATTAGTTAATATGATTAAAAGCATGAATTTGACATAATTATAGTCAGTCTATGAAGGCTTTCTGTTTTGTAGGAACCATTTGGGGTTTTTTTGGCAAGAGCTTCTTCAAGGTGACTGATTGAGATTCCTTAATACGGTGCTACTCGTCTTTATTTATAAAGGCCAGCATGGAAAAGTCATACATACTAGGGGGAGGTAGAAGTTCTAATGGAAGATGTAATAAATTGGGAATTAGTAGACTCAGGTTCCAGTCTCTGCTCTACTGCGTCAACTTGGGCAAGTTCCTTTAGTTCTGTGGATCTCAGTTTCCTAAAACTTTAGGTACACAGTAAGTTCTTCCATACAGGGAAACCCAAGTGGGATACTAAATGGAAAAGTATTTGCAAACTAAAAAGCACCATAACCATACAAAGAATTATTATTGACCCTGTAAGATAAATGAGGACCATTTTCCCTGAAAAATTCACATCCTGGAAATTATGAAATCATAACCAATTTTTATTTCAGTCTTTTATTATTGCCTCCCAAGTTTTTTTTGTTGTTTTTTTGAGACAGGGTCTTGCTGTGTAGTTCAGGCTGGCCTGGAGCTCACATGGTAGCCCAGGCTGGTCTCAAACTCACAATGATCCTCCTGCTTCAGCCTCCCAAGTGCTAGGATTACAGTGGTGTGCCACCATGCCCAGCTTTCTCCTCCCAATTTAAAGTACCAAAGACAGTTTCATATATATAACACTTTTCATAAATTATATTTGTTTGTTCCTACTCTGCAATATAAACAATCACTTGAAACCCTTTTGGGAACAATATTAAAAAAACTGTAAAGTGTATTTTGAAATTATTTTTGAGGGTTGGTCACAGTTTTGATGTATCTGTTTAAAATTCCTAATTACATTATTGTCATGACCTTGGATGAGAAACTTTTCCCTCCCCTTCAGAGACTCAGATTTGGTGTATTTAATAGGAGTTTTAAAAGAAACTTCCAGCTCAAACACTATTTAAATCAGTAAGTTCCCTTCCAGTTCCTAAATTCTGTGATTTTATGGTCCATATCTTATAATACCCAAGAGATTTATTTTGTGTTATTTTTTGAAATACTATATGAATGGTTTTGAGGTCTATGTTCAAATGTAGTCATCTTTAAATGATGAGAGAAGTGAAATTTTATAGATGGTCATAAATCTCATATAAGATTCGTAAAATTTTTAGAAAACCCAGCTAGAGAGGGATCAAAGTGCCCAACTGGGCCAAAGACCTCAGCTACACAGTACTTTGCTCAGAGTTCTTCGTGTTTTTCCTTCTCGTTCAAAGCAGAAATTAAAGTTCTATGACTCCCTCAGCACCCAGATGTGACTGAGACACAGGCAGCCCTTGCTCTGCATGGAGGCAGCTCTGTACCAGGGTTTGTGGAGTATGGGCCCGATTTCAGCCTCGACTCACCTGATTGCTTGGGTGCTGCTGTGGTTCAAATGTTCCTCGTCCTCGCCAAAACTCATGGTGGGGCTTGGTTCCCAGTGCAGCTATGTGGGGAGGCGGGGGCTACTGAGAAGTGTTTTGCTCATGGGGGTGGAACCTTCATGGACGGGTCAGTGCTTTTCTTGTGGCAATGGGTTAGCTATCCCAGGAGTTTGGGCCCCTTCTTCTCTTCCCCATGGGCCCACTTCCCATGCACTTTCCAACATGAGGTCTTTTCCAGAAGCTAAGCAAAGCCCGGGAGCATGTTCTTGAACTTACAGAATCATAAGCCAAAATAGACTTCTTTCGTTTATAAATCATGCAGTGTCTGGTATGCTGTTATAGCAACAGAAAATGGATCCAGACAGGTGACTTCACCCCTGCACAGCTGGCTGCACACTGAAGCCACGAAGAGACCCTGCAAAGATCTCTACAGCCTTCCTTACCCTTTCTTTCCCTGACTTCACTTCCTGCTCCCCGTCTCACTCCTCTGCAATCACACTTGTCTCCTTGCAATTCTTGGAGCACCACCTATGCTCAGGGCATTAGCACATGCTGTTTCACTCTTCCAGACAGCCTTGTGGCTTGCTTCATCACTTCCTTTCAGGTCTCCACTCAAATAGTTATGAGTTACATGACAACATTTCAGTGAGGACCATGTATACAACAGGGCCAGATGGCCCAGGCCTGTAGTAGGTTGTGCCATCTGTTCTGTGTAAGTATACTCTGTGTAAGTATACTCTATTCTGTGTAAGTATACTCTGTGAGGTTCATACAATGGCAAAATTGCCTAACGACGCACTTCTCAGAATGTATCCCCATCAAGTGACACATGACCGTACATCTTTCCAGGAAGGCTTACATCCAGACTCCCTGTCTCAACTGAGACCACCACCCCTTACCTTATCTCCTTTCCTAGTGTTTCCCCCCCTCATTTCAGTCATCACCAACCTACTCACAAAATTTTACTTATTTATTGTGTTTGTCACTCCCCAACTAGAATGTAAGTTTCATGAAGATGTGGATACTTTTGGGTGGTTTCATTTGTTGCTTTTTCCCTAGAGCCTGGAACAATGCCTGACACATAGAAAATATCCTAGGATATTTGACATGCATTTGTTGAATAAAGGAATAAATAAATATTTACCCAATGAATTAATAAATGAAGAGCATTGTTTGCCTTGTATGTGATGCTTTGCTCCTTGAGGGACAGGCTTGTGTTTTACTCAACTTTGCATGCCACCCACTTCCCAGGATTAGCAAACCCTATGTTCTCAGTAAATCCCCGTTGAATAAATGCACAGAAGGAGGCATACCTTTTATTGAAGTTTTCCTCTTCAGGGCTGAAACAATGGAATGAAACTGTGGGTGTGTTTTATCACCCAGAGAAAGAGCGTAGGCCACAATAGCCAGTGTAAAGGTGTTCTGGGATGAGAGGGTATTTTCAAGGAGGAAAGTGTCAGCTTTAGTTAGAGCAGCGCTGATTTTCTGGAAACAAGAACAGAAGATACCTAAGTTTCTTTGTGCAGTGTTGACCCATCAACAGATGGACATTGCACTCAGCTTGCACCATTCTGGGGCAGGTGAGATGAAGGGAGGAAAGAGGACAGCGGAATGGAAGTGGATGATGGCAAGTCCTTCTGTGAAGGGGTAGGGCATGACCTCAGAAGGGAAAGGTGGCGGTCCAGGTGGGCTGAAGCTTTTGCCTCTGAATTCCCTTGTTCCTTGTAGAGGTTTTATCTCTTAAGTTCCTGGTTCCACACCAGGCCTAGCTTCCAGGAGGAAGCAGCAGCAACAATAATTACAACTTTCATCCTTCTTTCTCAGCCTAGCTGAGACAGGTTGATGTGTTCCAAAGAATTATACTTCAAAAATAATAAAACCATAGCAGCGGGAAAACTGGCCATCTGCCAAAGTGCTTTCTGAGCCTACGAATGCACGGGAAAAGAGTCCCCGTCACTCTGTGCCGAGGCCACTAGAAGACTTACTGGGGGTGAGTGGGTCAGGAGAATGCCCGAAGAAGGTCACTAATGTCCTGCCTGGCTCCTTCTCTCCCAGCTTCCCGTGTGTCTCACACTGACATGACCACTGGTACCAATTGGTCCTCCAGGGCCCAGGGAACTGGTCTTGGTTCATAATTTTGTCTTCAGTGTAAACACCAGTGCTTATGGAACAAACTAAAAAAACAGTTGTGCATTGTGTTTCAAATGCTGCAAGCTCCTTTGGGTTTTTCCATCTCAATTCTGTATCCTGGTTTGAAGGATGTGTCTAACTGACTTCTGTTTTGCAGACAGGAGTACCTAACCTTAGCTCAGGGACCTACCTACGCAGAGGTATTACCTCCATAAACTTTTGGAAGTTTCTATGTTGGTTCATGTAGGTGGATTCTCTCTTAACACCTCAGTTTCTAAGCCAAGATAGCACAACTCAAAGAGCAGACCTGCGATTGTGTGTCCTCAGTACATGTACGCTACAGAGCATCTCAACTACTGAATGTAGTAATAACACACAGAGAGACTTAGCAGAGATAAGAGAGGGAAGCAGGGGACTCTGGGTCATTCTCCCATCACAGTTCTAGTACTGTCCCAATTGTAAATTTAGGAGCCTGTATGTAACACTGGACAATTAAATTTACCTTGTAGGCATCAGCTTTCTCAACTGCTGACAAGTAGGTGGGACTCAGTGTTCTCTAATATCTATCATAGTTCTGAAACCTTTTGATTCTGGTGTTAAAGTTGCCTTGAAGGAATGTGAAAAGAAGCTTTTGAGGCTGCGTGTCTTCTGACTGGTGGCCCCTGCAGTGTATGTCCCAGCAGTAGATGAGTGCTAGAGAGGGAAAATGCTTACTTACCACCATGGGGCATATGTCAATAGCTTTTCGAATTCCAATCACCGTGAAGGCCGTCAGATATAGGGTTTTCTCTCTGGCTTCAACATGCAAGGTACCCTAAGATAAAAACAAAAACAGTGTTTGAAAATGATGTCTTTAAAGCAAAATGATCCATTTCCAGTCTCCATTTTGAGCCTGTCTCCACACTTTTCTTTCCTGAACTCCAGCAGTCTGCTCTCTATTTCTCCATGAGCTCTGGTTCTTTTACTTCAGTGGCTTCACTTGCCCTGACCACACCTTCTAGCTCACTTCGCACTTTTTCACATTCAAATTCTTCCCTTTGGTCAAGACCCTGTTAAAATGCCACCTCCTCTATGAAGCACTGTTTGGTCTTTGTTCAGCCATAGTTTTCCCTCTTATGGTAGAGATAACTCAATGCAGGACTTATAAAGCTTTCAGTGAACTTTATTTACCTCTAGAGCTTTATTTCATGCCATTCACTATCTAGTTCTTATGCCCCCACTTCTTTGAATCAACCATACTCTCTTTCTTCTCCGTTCAAAATACCAAACACAATAGGAGTATGAGAAAAAATTCATCACTAATCATCAGGTAATTGCAAACTAAAACAATGAATGAGATATTGCTTGCCCTTGTTAGAATGGCTATTACCCAAAGTACAAGAGATAAGTGTTGACCAGAATACGCAGAAAAGGGAACCCTTGCACACAGCTGCTGGAAATGTAAATTATTCTAGCTAGTATGGAAAGCAGTATGGAAGTTCCTTCAAAAATTAAAAAAAAATAACTGCCGTATGTCTCACCACTGGGTAGATATCCAAAAGAAAAGAAATCTGGATCTCAAAGATATATTGTCCCCTCCACATTCATTTAAGCATTGTTCACAATAGTCAAGATATGGAATCAAGTCAATCTTGGTATTCATCAGTGAATATATGGGTAAGTATATATATACTATTATTACTTTAAAAAGAGAAAATCGTACCAATTGTGAAGCAAGGATGAACCTGGAGGACATTACGCTAAGTGAAATACACCAGGTACAGAAAGATAAATACTGCTTATATGTAGAAGCTAAAAGAGTCAAACTCATAAAAGGAGTAACTATGGGCTAGAGGTGGAAATATGTTGGGTAAAAGATACAAAATTGCACTTAGATGGGAATAATAAGTATAAGAGATTTACCGCATAACATGCTGACTGCAGTTGATAACAATGCATTCTATACTACTCGAAAGTCATGAAGAGAGTAGATTGTAAATGTGCTCACCACAAAAAGATGCATGTGAAGTAATGCATATGTCAATTAGCTTGACTGAGGCATTTCA